TGTAAGTTACGTACTATGTAATCTGAACTGAGAGTAGTTAGAAGAATAGAGAGATATACCACTGTTGTGCGTGTAACACACCCTCATACATCACAGATATGTAACTTCTCCACTGGCATACATTTTAGCTGAAAAACTGGAAAGTACTGCATTTCTTCTCAAGTGAAGGAAATTTTCTGAAGAATTTATGACCTAAGAGGTCTTCTTACAAGAATCCCTCAAGTTTAGTAGAATTTCTTGTTCCTTTCAACAGGAGACAAGCCACTGTAGCCTGTTTTTAAACCAAACAAATATTTGTTGCCCTTCTCTTTCCCTTCCATGGGCAGTAGATGGGAATCTTTTCTACCCTAGTCTGAGAAACTGTTTACCCTTGCTTTGCTACCACTCTTAACTGATGAGAATGGAATTGTTTGCTTATTAACATGAACTAGTCTCTTTTCCCATATAAGTGTACACAGTGGAATAATATTCCTTGATCTGGCTGGCCCCCTCACTAAAGTGAAATGCAGGATGCTGGCAGTAAAAATCGAATGCACTCTTCAGTGCTGAACTGGGTTTTGTTAGGAATATATTTTAACCATTCATCCCTTTCTAGATATTCTAACTAACTCAAATAGATGTCAAGTATTCTAACTAATTCAAATATATGTCAAATAAAACCTTTATACACTTCCAACACTCCCTCCCCTCTTCAGTTTCTCTGCTACATTGTAACAGAGTAAATGGTATTAAAAACAGTTTCAATACTTAGTCTATCACACAAACCCTCTCTATAAAATACAACCAAATGGCAAACAATTTGGGTAAGACCCAGTTTAGGCAGAGTCTGATTTGTGGACTTCTAACACTGCCGCCACAGCACAACAGCATCTGTGCTGTTCTCTCACCCACAGTGGTGAGCCTGGGGCAACAGGATAAACACAGAAATAGGTCACAAGATTCAAAACAGCTCTAGTTTGAAACACTTCTGTGCTTTCTCCTTCACCCATTTATTCATTTTTCCCTCTGCTCATCAGCCCTTGTCCAGTTCCTTCTACGGCATGTCTTCAAGGTGGCAGCTTCCCATTTTCTCTTCCAGAAAGCTCTGATCCTTAATCATAGAAGTGCCAGACACAAAACTGGAGAAAACGGTCTCCACAGTACTCCATACTATAGTTGATTCTCCTACCTCTAGTGAGCACTGGTGATGCTTGAATGGTAGAAGTTCAGATTTACTAATTGCTATTTACTAGTTGTTGAACACTACCTGTTCGGTGATAAATATTTGGGCTTCCTCTCTCAACTGAGTTTTAGTTTTCTGAGTAATTTTGAAGTGGTTTTGCACTATTTTGTCAATCAATTTTAACAGAGAATTGCAAGGTAATTAACTTAGAATTTTGGAACCAGTACTGTGTCATGATGAAAATTCCATTAAACTACTTAATATAACTGTATTTATACTTGTTCATATGAGAAAAAAAGATCTTACTATGAGAAACCATAAACAGAATACCTTTGGGGTAAAATTCACATCATGTTTCTTCCATCTCATTGTCTTGTCAAGTTCTAATGATATTTTAAGGCAATCTGATTTTACTATGTACAGGAGATAAATTGATAAATATTCAGTAGAGCCACATAAAATGCAGGGTGTGGCAATGCTGTATGACAACCAGTGTTATCTCTGAATAACTACAGACTCCTAAGGGCTATAAGACTCCTTCACCTTTAATCACAACCCAGTAAGCTGGTGACTTGATGCTTGCTGCACTGGAGGGGGGCTTTGCTTGCTACAGCTTCCCACTTACTAGGAAGCCAGGTGTCTTTTGATACTGGAGTAGCTTTATTGCAGGATTTGACAGGGACCATTCAGAGCATTGATTACTGTAATTAGAGCCGAAATCCCTAAAATCTCCCTTTCAATCAAGGAAAGGGGCCCCATCTTGTGGACATTTCCTGGAGCGAGTATGGTCTGGCTGTGAAGCTGTTGACCACGGTGCTGTCCATGCAGTGCTGAAAGAGTAGCCGGGATAGCCAGCTGCACCAGAATCTCACATTATGAGATTCTGAGCCCATTTATGTCTGGGCTCAGAAGTCAGGGGTTATGTTAAAAATCCACCTCATTTCCTTTTCCCTAGGCAAACCATCCTCCCATTTCTGCAGGTGTGAGGAATCCTGCCTCAATACAGGTTTTAAAAACCTGGAGAGAAGTTTTACGCACTTCCTGCAAACCCCTTACCTGCACACTGAAGAGCAGGAATGAGGGCAGAGTGGGGTGACCTGAGATGAGGTCAGGGTGTCCACCACGGTCAACCAACCCAGACCAGGAACAATTTATCAGGGGTTCCTGAAGCAATGGCACACATGGTCACATGCTGTGAGCAGCAGGAGAGCCTGGATCCCAAAAAATGCTGGAGACACCGTGTGCCAGCCCTAATGACCAAGGACTGAGTACATTTGGAGAAGAGTACAGTCGGGCTTTCACATCTCTTCTATAAAAGTTGTTTGCACAACCTGCAACTGCATCCCACACACACTATCCCACACCTACAACCTCGCTCCTTAGCTTCATCTAAGGAGGCTTCCCACTGAACACTTATTTTTAAGAACCTGTGTAGTCTTTGGGAAAACAGACAGGAAAAAGCTGTTGCATAAACGATGTGTGTTTCTAGTCCACTTCAAACAGGTTTTAACAACTGGCATTTTTCACTGCAAAAATGCAGGACAAGCTACAGTAGACAATTGCTGTCACAGCTCTCTTGAATTCCTATTTTCATAATTACATGCTTCCCCCTGTCTCCTACAAAATTGACATCATGTATGATGCTGCTTTCACAAACCCATGATTTTTCTTAGGTCAAGTAGGCAGAGGAGCGGTGCCAAGGTCCTGAAGATTTCCTTGGCCTATTGTGGCAATGTTGTGGGATTGGGACCTGGATGTTTACCTGCACGAGGTACGGCTAGTGACCTGGTACAGCCATCTGGGAATATGGGCTAATGGAGACTTGTACAGAAAGCACCCAGTCAGGTCAGCGCGGGGATTTTGGAGATTAGAGGATGTTTGAAGTTGAAGGCACCACTGGAAGTCACCTTATCCAATTTCCCACTGTGGGTCAGGACAAGATCGCACCACTCAAAGCTTCACTCACCCTAAAGGGTCCAAAGAGGGAGATTCTGCCACTTCTATTAGCAGGTTACTCTAGAGCTTGGTTGTGAAACATCTTCCCCTCCTCAGAGCTCCATACTTCCCCCAGCTCCTGCTGCTTCCTTGCTTTTCCCTACGCCCTTCCGACACTACCGTCTCCATCACCACCTCAGAAGGTGAAGGCGGGGGCAGACTCCAAGCCCGGCCTCGCCCCATTCCCGCTTCCCAGCATCTTTCTCGTCAAGCCAGGCCCCACAGCTGCCGGGATCCGGGGCGGGAAGAGCTCTTGGCAGCAGTTGGTGCCCACCCACAGGTGCCTCTCCTGCTAGACCCAAAGCGCAAAGCACATCTAGGGAAGTATTAAAAAAAAGTACCTAAACCAAAACACACATACTTTTCATTTATTCTTCTCGGTATCAGAGGAAACTCATTTCAGCAGGTCAGTACCTAGAGCTGAGTTGCAGAGCATGGGGCTGCTGCTGTCAGCTTTGCAGATGCACATCACCCCAGCAAGAAGGCCAGGCACCAAGATACCCGTGTGCTCACAAATGGCATCTCCCTTGGCTCTAACACAGCACTTGTATTTTGCATTTCAAGTTTTGTTCTCTCTGACTATGGAGCATCCTCGGTCACCATGTCCACAGCCATGCCTCCATCGACACAGCTACCCAGGAGGTGAAGACAGGCATGCTGACTGGACACACAGACACTGGCTGGCACGGCTGAGAGCTGAGCAGCAAGCAATGTGTACAGTGCCTCATGGCTTCTCTCCTCACAGCAATACCGTTTAACATACTCAGTCTGTAGAGGTATGTAGACAACCACCATGTCATGACCATATATTAACACTGATAAGATAGCAGTGTGTGAAACTGCCAGACGTCCCATACCAAAGGGAAAATAATATTAATGTAGATAGCCAGCCTTAACTTACGGCAAAATGAACAACGCAACAGAGTGAGAAGCTGTTGTAGAAAATAAAAACAGACATGGGTTCCTCAGAGAATCTCTGAGTAAACACTAGTTGCCAAATCATTACCAAGGTAAAAAAAAGGGCAGCAGGTCAACAAAACTGAAGCCAGTGTGGTAAGAGTAAATGGGGCTGCTTATTTTTGTTTATGCATTATGTAGTTGGAAAGATGTAAAGGGGACAAAGAACAAGGGATAAAATATGAAGCAAGTGGTATAATCAGGACTGAGTGGGGGTACTTGTTTGTCAGCCCCGTGCCTGATCACCACAGTTTAAACTAGTACAACAAATCCACTGTTTCCACAGCGTTCACGTAATAGAATATGCTGAGTTGAAAGGGACTCATCAGGATTAGGTACTAGTTATATTTTTCCTTGACGTTCATGAAGAAATACTAGAAATACCCTTCTTAATATTGCCAGGGTGATACCTGGAGAGTGCCACCTAACATCATCACTCCTTCCTAACTCTTTAACACAGCTAAATGTTTTTTTTCACACATGGGAAATTCTGCCAAGGACAGTAGTGTAACTGAGACAAATGTTTTGTAGATAATAAAAGAAAATGTGTGTATGCAAAACCAGGGTGCTTGCATGTTAACACCTATGGCCACCAATCATCATACCAAAACAAAGCCTGAAATTACTCAAGTAAATTGAAATTACTCAAGTAAATTGTAATTACTCAAGTCATGCTCACTATTAAAGACAAATGGACAAACAGTATCATTACTATCAAGGTCATAATGTAAAATAATTAAGCAATTAGAAAGCAAGGTAAATTCAAACAACTTTTTAATGCCTAATCAGTCTTTAGTCCAGTTTTGATTTCACAATATTCTGTAAATATTGTAAAAAAATAATTTAAAACTAAAAATTAAAGTGTTTCTGTTTTAGTTTATGACAACTTTCAATGTATTTTTTCCTTGACTGTTTTCCTCTCTCAATTAAATCAGTCACTGATCTTGAAGCCTAACAATCCCTTCTGCTATTGTCAAACAAACATTTTGATCCAATCAAACATATCCTTTCTAGCTTCTTCAATATAAGGTTTATCATCAGGTTTCATATCTTCTGGCTTCAGTTGTGCAAACCCATGAACTTGTCCAGGATAAACTTTAATTTTATATGAAACTTTACAATACTGTTTCAACTTCTCCTCCAATAAGAAGATCTGTAAAAGAAAGTGTTTTTCCATTATGTTATGGCTGTTTTTTTTAAGTTTGCCAAACTTGCCGTTTCTCATAGAAAAAACCCTCTTTGGGATGTAAGACTGAAATTTAATTTATTTTTTTTTTTAAGTATTGCTGAGTCTAAGAACCTCAACAGTTACAGCAAAGATGGTTTGGTAAATCTCATTGTCATAAAGGAACAGGTGCATTTCTATTCAGATTCTTAGGCTTGTCATCTATACTTTAAGCACTGATCTTGAGAGAACATGTTCCATAAACCTTAGTGACCGTCAGTCCAAAACATTTTGATAGGCTTAGTAACAGAGTTTAGGAAAACACAAAGGTTAGGTTTTTTTTAGTTTGCTTTACAAAAAGACACTGTTCCTGCATAGTCTTTTGGTGATAAGTATATGCAAAGTACTGATCACGTGTTTATGTATACATATACATCTGTAGACACATTCTTGTGATTACTTCCATTAAAAAGTTAGAAAATAGGAGAATGAACACTTATTTTACCTCAAAAACTTAGTTCTGCCTGTTGTGCAGATTAGAGAGAGTACTGTAATTTATTTCATGTTCTTTCTTTTTTTATTTTTTATCGTTGTCACTGAAGGAAAAGAATTTATGCACAGAAGAGGGCACCAGTTTCCTACACATATATTTATCCAGCCTCTCAGATATGCTTACAGCAGGGGTTATATCAGAACATAGATGGCAGCCAGGAGTCAAAAGAGAGTCCAAAAATTTTTATCATCTCAGTTAAAATCCACACCCACTCTTCTCATATGGTTAAATTTTTCTTCTTGTGCCAAAAGCAATTAGTCATTTGCCTCAATCATCAGAAAGTTCAGTTACTAAGCTGAAATTACTTTTTTTTTTTTTCTCCAACTGAGTGGCCTACCTATTTCTCATCCATAGCAGTAGTATCCAAGGTTTTGAGATGCTTGGCTCATACCAGCTGGATCTCCCTGCCCAGTTTCATACTTTGCTTATCTAGCCACTCAGAGTCTGATGAATGGTCTTTACTGCATTTCTCACATCAAAAAAGAAGCTTTGAATAACCTAAGCAAGATATATGGGAAGTTGAGATATAAACAAAACAATCCAGACTGTCTGGATGGTTTCTGAAAATAGTTTCTAACAAGGATTTTTGTGGGGGATAAATGAGCTACCGGAAAAGAAGAAGTATTTCCAGTACAACAGCTTACCTGATCCAAAGAAATGGTGTGGTCTTTTTCACCAAAAATGAAAAACGTTGGATTTAGTAAATTGTATCTTTCTTCAGAATCTCTAATTATTCCTATAATGTTTTGAGAAACAGTCTGTTAGTGAGGTTAACAGTCTTGCAAGACAAATGGCAAATTAAAAGATAAAGTTTCTATTCAAGTTTACTCATTAGGTGCATTACTTAGATCAGGACAGTTTATATTCAGATGGAGAAAAAGCATTTGGAAAAGACATCTTGTTACTCTCCAAGAACTAAAACAATATTAGAAAATTATTGCGCAAAATAAAGCAATTTTTTTCTTGTTTACAGTATTAATATTTTTATACATATATAGCATATTGCTGAAATAACCATAATTAAAATCTGCAACTCACCTTTGAGTTTTACAGAAATTGCTACAACAAAGCAATAACTACAGTTACAAACTATGCATAGTCATGTGAACCCGAGTAAGTTTTCATGTGTTCTACACTACCATAGAGGGACACCCCAGCGGTTAATTGAGGATTTTTCAGCATCAAGTGATGTACTGCCATTCCACCCCAGGAAAACCCAACGATACCAATCTTCTTTGCACCGCATTGTTCCTTTAGATACTTCAAGACAACATCAGCTTCCCTAAGACATATAAACAAAAGTAAACTAAGGACTCTATTGCAGAAGCAATATTTGACAATTTAAGAAGAAAATTACAAGAGACACATGATTTTGTTTTCTGTGTCTGCACCCCCAATCATTTAATACAGAGATTACTTTTAAAAGCACATTTCAACCTAGAACAGTGTCTTCTATTATTAAACAAGAGTTAACATCTCTGGTCCTAGTTTAGGACAGTACAGGTGTAGGTACTTTAATACTTACCTGAATTGTCACCTGTTCCTGTGTTTTCAAAATTAGCAACTTTTTAATTGAACCACTTTGTCTAGGAGAGGACAACTAAAGACAAGACATATCTGCAAGTAGAACAACATCTTGCATTATGGACTGGAGGAATAGATAAGCTTCACTGTACTATCTCTACAGAGTCCACCTATTTAGATAAAGATTTATCTTGATTATGTCATTCCTGTTGCATGAGTTAATACTAAAATATCCTACCAAGCCCACATGCAAGAATGTTATACTGAGGTAGCAATTACTCAAAATTACATTGTCAGCATCTATACTGTTTAAAACAACAAGTTTTACATGAGGTATAATGAGAAAAAAAATGAAAAAGGTCAATTTATTTTTAAAATTTCTGACTTCTTAGGTCTCAATAATTTAATCTTCTTCATCATCTACAGAGTTTGAAATATAGTTTAAATGTAGACTGCATAAACTAATAACTATATTTTCATACATTAGGTATATTAGTGTGGTCATCACAGGTTTAGTTAGACTGACAAAACAACCCAACATTATGAGAGTGACATGAAGAGGAGATTGTGCCCTAGGCCTATGGGCAGGCTCTCTCAGATTTAGCTTGTTTGGAAGGGTACTAAGGAAGTCATAGGTGTGTTGGATTCCAAGTTCTCTGGAACAGTAATAGATTTAAACTAGAGGGGACTCTCAAAAGTAAACACTCAAAAGACAGCACAAGCATGTCCTGAGATCTCAATTTTTTAAGGCAGTGTCCACGTATCTGCTTACTCTTTGGAGCAGAATTTTTTATAGTTGTTAGTCATTTGCCTTTTCAAAAAAATCTGTCACAGTTTCTGCAACTATACAGTCAAAAGCATCCTTTAGAGGTGTTGAAGTTAGGCCGTGACTGCTGGGGTATCTGGAGAAGGTCAGAAGAACACTTGTGGCTTACAGCTGGTAGTTGAATAAAAGGGTATCACTGCCTCACTATCATCTTCTGAAGTTTTGAGCTATGGTGATAGATGCAGTATAGTTGGTCAGATGTATCTTGGGTTTTGGGCAATCTTGCAAATTTTTATGTAGTCGTGCTCAGGAGAATATTATCTGTACCTATCATAATCTACAAGGCAGAAAGCAAGGTGGGCAAGTGACAGCTGGTAGACAACACCAGCAATAGTAGAAGAATTTTCCTCCTTATCTTGAGGAACTGGGGGCAGAATCAGCACTTGTGGATGAGAGTGCTGGGTATTTCATAGCTTGTGAAACACTGTGAGTCTGTGTGGCCAGTATAACATAGTTAGAAAAGGGCCCAGAAAAACAAGATGGGGACAATAAGCAGGGTGATGAGCAGAGCAGATGATCCTTTTCAAATCCCAACCAAGAAAGTGCCTAGACCCACAGAAGAATCACCCAGAATTAGCAATTGTGTTTGTGTAGCCACTTTGCCCTGCTGTGAGGTGCCATTCTAACATTTCATACAAATTCCCCTTGTTTGCTGAATGCTTTTTAAAGTTTAAGTACAAATATGTATCTTACTTGTCTACTTTCATAGGATCATGATGTTTCATCCAGTCAGCAAAGTCACCCCAGTGATCAGTAGATTTCCAGGGTTCTGTTCCCTTGAAGAAATCTGGGCAGATGGCTCTGTGTGAGACATAGAATTAAGTTAATTTTCATATCCAGTTGGGAAGAATCTGTGGATGTCTAAATGTCTCCTAATGTCTTCCACTCCAAAGTGGAACAACCATACTATTCTGACAATCAGCAGAGCTAAAAGTATATGTCTTTCTGAGGAAGAAACCCCACCAAATCACAAATGAACACTCATTGTTTCGTTAGACACACTTAATACAAAAGTAGAGGAATTAAGTAACCCCCCTGATTCTATGTACTTATATAACTCTTTTCTATTAAAAAGATAAAGCACATGTTCAAAAGGTTTGGTTTTGAAAAGCTTATACAACTGAAAATAGATACCAGCGTCTACCTTTTGGTCACCTATGTTACCACATAAGCAAAAACACTGGAACTTCATGACTACTTGTGGCTTTGTGCTCAGGTAGCCACTTTTAACGGGTTAGTTTTAGTATCTTTGGTGGCTTTGTGGAAATGGTTTTTTCCCCTGCTTTTTTATTCACTCAGACTGAAAAGACACGGTTGCCCTATATGTGTGGGAAACATCATATGCCATGCCTAGCTTTGGGCCTGGTGATCTATTAGTGCATTTAAGAGGAAGATAGGAAAGAAAATTGCTTACATATATCCATGACCCGCAATCAAATCGACTATGTATCTAATATCTGGGAACCTCCATCCAAATACATCATGAACTACAATCACAGCTTTGTCCGTGGAAAAAGATGGTCTACAAACATATGCCTTAAGGTACTCAATTTGTACTTCATGTCCAAGGCATCCATAGTGAGATCTGTCTCCAGTATTATATAGAAAAGGATCAGCCATTTGAAAACCTGGGGGGGGTGGGGGGGGGGGTGGGGAAACAAGAAAGTAAAAATAATTTGTTAAAACAAATTATTAAGGGCATATATAGGCAAACATGATCTGCAGAAAGTAGTTCAGTAACTTCTGTAAATAACATTGAAATCCTTGTTTGAAAGGAGAAAGTAGGAAAAAGCAAAAGTAATGTTCCAGTGAAGAATGGCTCTTAGTCTACTATGTATTATTAAGATGAGAATGAAGACAAATACCAAAATCAAAGTTATAAAATTATAAGTAACCTGCACATGTAGATCTTGATACTCATGTTACATTTCTTCTGCTCCCATGTGACTCTGTCAGCACTGGTGTGATGCAGGACTGCTTCAGATGTCACTCTCTCCCCAGGCACGGGGCCATTGTGGGGACTTCATGCGTGTTTCTCTGAATTATTTGTAAATACCACAGCACTCAACTGCTACATTACTGTATAGTGCTCAGTGCTTCTCTCGGTGCTGGTTCCTGCTAGCTAACCTGTGCTTCTGCAGCAGCATCACAGTTGGTCCAGGAGCAGACATATTGGATGCAGTTATTGAAGAACTGCAGCATGGATTTGTGAATTAGATTCTCATGTGTTGGGCCTCTATGCCCTTGAAAGGGATTGCAGGAAAACAAGCATATATGTAAAGTTCCTTCAGAATGTGTGAGAGCATTTGTTTTTTTCCCTTCTCCAAAAGTAGCAATTATGGACAAAGAGCCAGTAGATGTGCTAGACAGATTAAAGTCAAAAGCTGTTCTGACTCTCTGTGTCAGGAGCTTGGAATGGACTCTGTGCAAAAAGTAGATTGTGATCCTGTAATTAAAACTGGTGTTACAATGCATCTATACAAGGTATCCAATTAAGTCTTCAGGGGCAATGTTAATAGTAGCATTTCCCAGTCATGAACTGACTTTGAAACTGTCCTTGGGGATGCAGTGCACATACTTATACATTATGCTCTGCTTCATCATTTCTACATCAGCCTATTATATGATTTTGGGTTGTAACATGTACTTCATAAAACTATCTAATCTTCATGAAAGTGCAGCAAATTCTGGTAAAAATGTATGCCTTCCTCAGCTCTCCATTAACTACAGCAGCAGAGGGCTAGATTTCACAGACTAATGTGAAATTTTGCCGAGGCACTACAGACACATTTGGAACCATGGTGCAGACAGACTGAAGAACAGAGAATTGATGCCAAAGAGACTTACTGTTTTCTAATGTCTTACACAACACTTCCCAATTTGCATGATTCACACAGCCTCAATAACAGCATTCAGATTTTATGTTCATTTAGACTGCTTTATAACCAAGACAATAAGCCTCCCCAGTGTATAGTGCAGAGACACTGTCTTCCCCATCCTCTCACAACCCTGGGGCTGCTCTCACCAGATCTGGCAGAGCCAGCACTGAGTCTGAGCAAATACACTTGGCTGCAACCAGAACCCCTGGCTGATAGTGTGATGTAGAGATACAGGAATGGGGCAGATGTGGCTTTCCTGCTAGAATTAAGCTGCTTCAGGATTAGCCATTAGGTGGATCATCTCTCATCATGAGTAATCCTCTGTGCTGATACAATTAACATGTGTTAATTGTTCTCCCACCTTTCTTTAGCACAGAGCTTGTGCTAAAAAGCATGAAGTAGCCTGATCTTCAGGTCTAAAACCTCCATTGTTTCGGCATCATGTGAAAGAGAAAGTTGTAACTCACATGGTGGAGTATCTTCCAGTTTAAGCCTGCCATAATGCTTGAAATGCCTGAAAATGCTCGAGAGAGGTCCGTTCATTCAAATGCTTCCTACCTCTCTTTTTATAACCTAAGATGAATGAGCCTGTTGAAATGCAAGAGGCTGCCTGGAGAAACCACAGGCACACCTAAAGATAGCTAACACTACTGGCTTCTGAAATGGCAGCCACAGCCTTACTCGACTGAGGGCTTTTGTTCAGAAGGGCACAACCTGTGGTGTCCCCTTCAAGGAAGTAGAGTTTAGGAGGCATTAAGCTATGAAGTAGTTATGAAACAGCCTACTCCCTATCTATTGGTTGCTTCTCAGAAACCATTTCTTTGGCCTATGCTGACTGAGCCCTAGCCAGCTGGCTCTCCTCCAGACACCAGGCTGCAGAGAACGTTAGTAAATAGTCAACCACACCTGAACTGCTTAGAAGTTTGATGGGATCCTGTTCAGTCAGAAGCTTTATTTGCTCCAGCCTGCTTTGTCCCACGCAATGTGGTGTGGCAAATCAACAAGCTAGGGTATTTCCTACCTATCCTGTCTCACCTCATTCCCTCTTCCCATAAGTTTCAGCCACTACACTTTTCCTTTTCCTGCTTTCCCTGTGGCACGGTTCCAAGCACACAGCATCTCGCCTTTATGCCCCGAGCCTTATCACTGAGGTCCAGCACAGAGGAGATGCAGGGCCTGGTGGGAACAAAGGGAAAACTGGCTACTGTTAGCAGAGAAAAACGACAGATATTGAGGAATCTGATGTCATCCTACTGCTCCTTAAAGGTCTTCTTGTAGCTTCTCCTTCTCACCAATGGTCCTGCTCTTCCTTGAGTGTCTTTACACCATTCAGCTTTTGTGCGAGTAACATAAAAACTGAAGGAAGTTATTTACATAAGGCAAAGGTGGGTTCCTTTGGGTGGTAGGACAGACACAAACTACTGCATTTCTGGGGAGCAACAAATCACATGGCTAAATTCTGCTGAGACTTAATTTTCAATAGGAAAAAACCAAATCCCTACTTGGAAAATTAGGTTAAAATCTTTTAAAAAACAGTCAGGTTAAACAGAGGCAAAGGTATTCCTCAGGATAATCTCCACTCCTCAGAAGATGAGTATGAGCACGTGATCTCAAAGTGCTGTGCTGTTTGGCAGGGCCTTGGACTACTGATGCCAAGATGTGACATCTCTGCCCTTTTCCTGGGTCGAGTAATAACATTCTAAACTACAACAGTATTTTATTTCAATGCTAAGTGTTCAATGGACCAAAAAAGGAAATGAATGGAAATTCATTACCATAAGGGCAAAAAAAATTATTATAGTCCTTTAATGTGAACTTGCTACTGATGAAGATAAATTACCAATGTCCTTAGAACTATCACTGTGCCACAGCTTGTAGCAAGGACTCAAAATGAAATCCAATCTTTCCCAAAGTTGACAGCCTTTATCTTCACCTTATCCACCCCTTGATACTATGCTTTGTGCAATCCTTTTACTAAAACCAAAGTAATAGTATCTCCAAAGGAGTAGATTTTGCTGAATGTTTCGTGCCTTTTCAAAGAGCTATACCTTATTGCTTAACAATTTCAGATTTTCCTATTTATCACTGGTAAAAGTAGTTATCCTTTTCTTCTGCCAACTCAGTCTATATGGACCAGTTTGCCATCACATACCTGGAGTATGGGATCCTGTTTTAGCCCAGCTTGCTTCTTCTGCTCAGTGAGACACCAGCTAGATTTCTTTAAACACAAAAAGAAAAAAAACAGCTCTGCTGACAGTTTTGCTCCTGGTGCTGCCCATCCAGTTTCCAGGTGCTCTTCAACTCTTCTGCAGACTTTGGGATTGGGAAGTGAGGAGGAGAGGCTTAGCACAAGAGTCATCCTGAACGGAAGGGGTGGAGACAGATCATGCAGAGAGGCAAGGTGCAACAGGCTTCACATCAGTTGCCTTTACTCTACCTTTTATTATTTATTATTTAAGGAGTTTAGAAAGAAAGATGCACCCAAACACTGTACTACACTATTAAGTGTGTGATGCAGCCTTTTCAGACACTGCAGACACTTTTGACCTCAGCATATATGACTGAGCCACTCAGCATCACTGATACATTAGCTGATGCATTTTCTTGAAGAATATTCATGTTATTTTATTGACAATGATAAATGTCTTTAATGGAATTTGAAGTGAATTAAGATGAATTTGTTACGGCAAACTTGCATCATAAAAAACTTTAGTCTCCCTAGCACATAGATTAAACATACTATAACCACACCCACAAGTATTCCCAACAAGTTGAAAAGTGTTCCAAGTTATTTTTGATTAGACTTGCTTTCAACAAGTGAGAAAGATTTCAGTCTGTAGTTGCTCGTTGAAATTTTCCATTCCTATTTCCATATTGGCACTGTGTGCAAGGAACATTAACTTAGCCCTTAGGTTGAAGTATACTATAGTTTTCATTTTCTCTGTGTGTGTACATGGTTTGAGTGTGTGTGCGTGTTGGGGAGGAAGAATGCAAGAGACAAAAGAACTCATAAAAAATGACGAAGTTTTAAGTCATAGATCAATAACGAAATTTTGATTCTTAGTGTATATGACAAACAAGTCCCACAGCCATCTGGTAGACATGACTCAGCAGTACTCTGTGTGGTAGTGACCACTGTAATCTATGATCACCTGTAAAAGAGGTGAAGGATGGGTTCGGTTCATCAAACTTCAGGCATTTACACTAGTTTGTATATGTCAGCAAGGTGTCTACACTCCCACAGTCATCATCAAGATTTACAGTATGATTCACACTCCATTAGTGCCTTCTTTCAAATGAAATAGATAGTCCCCTTGATGCCCCCAGCTGTGTTGATCATGGAGTTTAATGGTAGTTAACCCACCTAAAGCAGGTGTAGATTCCTGTGCTGAGTGCATAATCACCCAAGCACAATAAGTCCCACCTCTGTGTGCTGTGGAAACTGCACATAACATAAAATTTAAGCTTGTCATGACCAGGAAGAGGGTGTTTGTCCTGTCATACCTGTCAGTAGCTTTGCACATCAGGATTGTACAAGAAACTATTAAAAAGATTGCTTATGTTGCAAGGGAGGGAGAGGAAAGCTTCACAGAAAAGATCGAGTTTATACTTTGATATTAATGGCATCTTGCTTGAATTTGTCTAACCCCACCTGAGTGGGTATGCTGTACTCAGATCCACAAGACTGAACTATCAGTTTTCCTACCTTGTCCCCACAGAACTCAGGTCTGGCCAAGCTGC